TGGTCCTAAAGACTCATTCTTGGTCCTAAAGACTCATTCTGGGTCCTAAAGACTCATTCTGGGTCCTAAACCCTCATTCTGGGTCCTACAGACTTATTCTGGGTCCTTCTGGGTCCTACAGACTCATTCTGGGTCCTACAGACTCATTCTGGGGTACCGGACGTCTACTTTTACCCAGACATATCCTCTGCTTGAGCTAAAAACATCATCTAAATGGACTTCACTATCACTCAGCCTCAGACATGTTTACATCAGATGTGCACTACATTTCCCTACCCATGTTCTCTTCTTTTCAGGGCGTTCAAGCTTTGGACAGCGTCTCTCTCTTAATGTCCCACCCCTGATGACCCATAAGGACCTGATACCAGGACCTGGTATTGTGTTCTCGCCTGCTTTTGGACCCTAAAAAGCTGGAGCATAATCACAGGTGGAGCTGTGCCTGTGGACCTCCTGAAAACCTGAGCAGCCTGGAGTTTTTTTTTTTTACAAACATGATGTCCAGACCACGGGGACCGGACGGGGTCTGGGGTTTGTGGGCCGGCGGGTGGCGGCCCACCTGTACCAGTTGGTGAGGGTCATCATGATGTAGAGGGAGGCCAGGAACAGCATGAAGTGGAAGAAGGAGTAGGAGTACGTCACGCCCTCCCTCTCGTTGTCCACGGCCCGGCTGGACGAGCCGTCCTCCTCGAAGCCGTCCGGGTTTGACCCGTCCTCGATCAGCGCCGACTCGTCGGTGGTGAGGGTCAGCTTGTTGACCTGCGTGTTGGAGGAATTGCGGATGCTGGCGGACGGACAGAGGTCAGAGGTCAGGGGTTAGTTAGAGCCGGCCGGAGGGGGCGAGTGTCCGGCGGACCGGGCGGGTCCTCACCTCGAGTACAGGACACACATGAGGAACAGGATCAGGCCCACGATGCCCTGGGCGTCCCACCACTGCACCACCTGCTCCTGGCCAGCCGGACTGGTGCTGTTCAGCCCGATCATGCCCAGGAGGCTGGGGTTACAACTCCTGTCTGTGAAACGAAGAAAAGCTCACAGTCAGCCGCTCGCTCATGACCTACTGCCACGCCGCGCACCTCTCAAATGGTCATTCCTGCTTTAGCGCAGTCGATGGATCACTTTAGGGGTTTAATTTTTTTTTTCCTATTTAGTTCCTTAACTCATTGGCTGCCAAAGACGTCTATAGAGGTCTTTTATGTTTTCAACGCGAGTGTCTGGGGGACGATCTGCTAAAGCTTGTCCGTAAATATCGGCTTCTAGACAGAGTATGTAGTAACACATTGACCCTCTAGGGGGTCAATGTAGACTGTAGGCCAATAAAAAAAAACGCAATGGTTCGCTATGCGAGAAATGTCACCGGTGAGACGCACGTCGAGGAAGAACGGAATAGAAACAGGTAGAAACAATTTTTTTGTCCTGATGAAAGAAGAGAGTCTACTCTTTCTTTTGGTGTGTTCGGTGTTTACATAGTCATAGCACAAACTATTCTGTGGCTCTTGAAAAATCAGTCAAAATGCTCAAAAAACTCTGGCAGTATGGGTTCTGAAAATGGCTGGCAGTCAATGAGTTAATAATCGATTAATTTATCAAAATGTTTATGCATTTGGCAGATGCTTTTCTCCAAAGCGACTTGCAGTAAAATGTATACAGGTGTATCTCCCCGTCGGGGAATAGAACCCCGGTCTCTTGGTGACAGGCTTTGACACAAATGAATGCCGTTTGTGAGTTTGTTCAGACGTTTTGGAAGATGTGAGGATTGACTGTAGAGCCAATGATTGTCATCATTGGCTCTACAGTCTGACAATTTGCCAGCAAAGATGTCAGCAGTGCCCCCCCGCCCTCCTCAGATCCACACCGGTCTCATAGGTGGCCTCTGTTTTTACAGCTGCCCTGAAATGCATCACAATGAAGTGGATGCAGCTGGAGCCTCCTTCCTTTGACTTATGGGTCCAAAAAGTAAGGGAACTGTATAAAATGGAAAAGATAACCTACTCATTAAGACTTCAAAAAAACACCTTTAACCTGCGCCAGCAGAAGCAATGTTGTTGTAAATAAACCCAACAAGTTTGTCTCTTGGCACATGATGTCTAGCTATCCCTCCCAAAGTGTTTCCTTATTTTGGGGTTGTATAACGATGAACCTACAATTGTGACTAAGATGTTTATTTATGGAAAACTTCATATTGTCAACATTTGTGTCATGTACCTTTAATGAATGGTTGTATCATTGCTCTGCAAAAATAATAAAAGTCTAAGTTCTTAAAAAAAAAATAAAATAAAATAAAGAAAAACTCATAAGTGGCTTCTGTGATCTCCAAATAAGGGTGAACTTTGAGAGTGCGCGTCGGGTGCGCACGTGCATGCCGGTCAGTGTGAGCCCGGACATTAGGCGGCTACTCACCCGGCTCATTGGTCATGGCGGACCAGGTCAAGTACATGGTGTAGAGAGTGACCAGTGAGGACTGCAGCAGGCCGGACCGGGGCTGGGACTCCTGCACACACACACAGAGATAGAGAGAGCAGCATCAGCCGGACGCCTCCGCCTGTAACGGTCAGCCCCAGCCCGGCGGGGGGGGGGGGGGGCGCCGCCCACCTGGATGTGGGGCAGGATGGACAGGACGGAGGCGCCCAGGCAGAGCAGCATGTTGATGCTGATGAAGGCCTTGTTCTCGGTGCAGCCGGCGGAGTGGGTGTAGTAGACGTAGAACAGCACCAGGGCCACCGCCGACAGCACGTAGTTAGCGGCCGTAACAGACAGCAGCGCTGAAACACACACACACACGCGTTTGTGCCTGGACGCTAGGGTTGTCAAAAGTATCGATACTCCAAAAAGTATCGATACTAAAATGTTGTATCCGGATACGATACTCATTTTCAAAAGTATCGATACTAAAATGTTGTATCCGGATACGATACTCATTTTCAAAAGTATCGATACTAAAATGTTGTATCCGGATACGATACTCATTTTCAAAAGTATCAATACTAAAATGTTGTATCCGGACACGATAATCATTTTCAAAAGTATCGATACTAAAATGTTGTATCCGGATACAATACTCATTTTCAAAAGTATCGATACTAAAATGTTGTATCCGGATACGATACTCATTTTCAAAAGTATCGATACTACCGCCCCTTCTCTCAGATTTATTTGTTTTTTTTTTTACGTTGTTTATGGTCATTAACAAGTTGTTAGCCTTGAACTGCTAGCTTCGGCTAATGGCTAATAATAACGTGCTACCATTAATCAAGTACATATCCAACTCCGCCCACATCGAAGTCGGCCATTATAATTAATTACAGTAACAATAGGAAGATTCCAGGCAAGAAAATCCTAATTAACTCATGGCAATATAGAGATTCATTTAAAAATTGTGAAATTAATCTTTCAGACACTTAATTAAACTCTATACATGTTATTATGTTAAAATAGTGGATGTTAAATAGGTTCGTACAATAAGTCCAAACAAGTTTAACCAAAAAATATTTATTTCTCACAATTATGAAGGGTTAGGGTCAGGGTTAGGGTTAGGGTTATTAATGCAGGCCACCAGTCACAATATCATCAATAACAGGTCAGTTTGAAATGAAAGACACTAACCTGTCAAAATTCATTTAAATTTTGGGGTCTTTTTTTAATCCTTGTGGTATCGAAAATGGTATCGAGTATTTTTCTGAGTATCGGTATCGAGTTGAAAATTTTAGTATCGTGACAACCCTACTGGACGCGTGGGGGAAAACTGTCAGACGGACCCGGAGGCTCCGGCCGTACCTGCATACCAGCAGCGGGAGTTGCCCTCCTCCATCTTCTCCACCCAGGACTCGTTCCAGGAGTGAGCGAAGTCGATGAGCAGGACCAGCTGGATGAGGATGAAGCAGAAGGCCCCGGCCATGCCGATGTAGAACCACACTGTGGAGATAAAGAGCGCGTCTGATTGGTCTGGGGGTCTGATGGCCCTTCTCTGCTGTGGAGCTGCTAGCTCTTTGAAAATGGCATTTACGCCATGCTTTGTGGTCCGGACTGGGATGGTTGGGACAGTAACTGGAGCATAATTGGTGTTTTCACATGTCGTCACCAAAGTCGCTTGATTTGTTGCTAGTTTTTTTTTTTTAAATCACTAAAAGGTTCTGAAAACTCAAAAATAGGAAGAAAGTCGCTAAATCGGCAACTCTGAAGGGGGCCTTTGACCTAACAGATGATGAACAAAAGATGTTAAACATCCATTGTGTGACCAAAAACCACAGAAGGGCTGAGAAGCTTCTCTTTGTTACTGTGTCACCCTTAGAGTTTAATTCAAGTTTCACCTTCTTCACAGATAAAAATACACTCTGAGATGTAAAGGAAAGTCCCGGGCCATCTGTAGAAGCACCAAACGGCCTCTCACTATCAACAGAAAGTTCAGAAAATAGCTGGATGTTGTTCTACGTATTTTTTCAAAAGGAAAAGCATAAAAAAAAAGAGTTTAATCTCAGAAGTTTACCAAATAAAAAAATAAAAAATAAATAAAAAAGTGCGGATAAAATACCTCCAGTTGTCACACAAACAGCATAATAGACCGTTTTAAGCCTGGATTTAAACATCTCAGTTTATGTTGATGCCTGTCTTTTTCAAGAAGACAGTTCCAGATTTTGGGAGCAGAAAACTAAAGCACTGCCTCACCTTGTTTGGTCCTGACTAACATGTCAGAGATGGACTTTGGGACTAGAGAAAGAAGAGACTTTTACACAAACAGAGCTGTTTTAGAGTCTGTTCTCAGAGCTACAGGAAGCCAGAGCAGATATCTGAGAACTGGACTGATGTGTTTCTATATTTCATAACAACATTTTTCTATATATTTTCAGGCCAAACTTTTTTTTTTTTTTTTAAACTTGCTAAATGTATTTAGCATCTCTACTCAGAGATAAAATGTATCATACACTGAGGACATTGCACACGTGTTCGGCTGCGCTTTCCCAGAACCAACCCTGTTTCAATGGCCTGATGACTTAAGGAAATGGATAGAAAGCCCAATTCATAATTCCCTTGAGACTTAATATTTTTTTAATTCATTACACTACAATGTTTTCTTTTTCCAGTAACCGTCTCCTATGATAGGACTTGAAGGGCAACCTGTGAGCGGATTAGCAGCCCGGTTAGAATTAAAGAGCGGGAAATGAGTTCAAAAGACCAGAAGAGTTACCAGTTGAGAAGGGTCCATCAGCGATGAAGAAGGATCCGATGGTGATGGCGGCAGCCGCGGCGAACTTGAAGAACCAGAAGCTGTGAGTGAAAAAGAACAAGCAGGTAGTCCGTTATCTCTTTGTAGAGCTTCTAAAACATGAACAACCTTTCAGAGTTTCTGCTCTATCTCTGTGTGCAGACAGCTGGTTTAAATGTGCGAGAGCCTCTGTTCTAGGGATGGGACGGTTTCTGAAAACCGTCCGAACCGTTGGGTTGGACTGTCTCGGTTCGGTTGGCGTGTGTTGCGTTCGGTTCCTGCTGCTCCTTTTTCTCAGAGGGAAGCGTTTACACTCCAGAGCAGAAGGGGGCGCTACTGCGCCCAAAGCCAACCACCAGTAGTGAACAAGAAGAAGAAGTGAAGCAGCGTAGCCGATAACAATCCGACACGCCAACAGCAGTTTCTAGGTCTGCTGTATGGGAACACTTTGCATTTAGAGGGAAGCACATGCTGGAATTAGCACTGTTTCCTCTCTTTCAATGCCAGAATCTCACCTACTTTTAACCTAAGACTGTCACAATAATGTATCAAATGTCAGACTGCTTTTTTCTTTCAGTTTTAACCTGACTATACAAGACATAATAGATTTTCCTAACAATCAACACATACCGAACCGAACCGAAAACCGTGACCACGACACCGTGAAGCGAACCGAACCGTGGATTTTGTGAACCGTCCCACCCCTACTCTGTTCAGTCTGCATGATGCAGTGGTCCAGTTTGTTTATTACAGGACGGACATGTGACAGCAGGACAGTGTGAGCCACTGGGGGGGGGAGGAAAGCCTCACCCGTTGTGCAGCGCCGCTCGGGGGTCCTGGCTGCTCTTCACTTTGATCATGAGCAGAGAGAAGAGCAGGAAGAACATGGCCATCCCGAAACAGACCCGGTACACGGCCTTGTAGCCGACCAGCACGTCGCAGTTCACGTGACCCTCCACGCCAGGAATAGAAGAGCCCATTCCCCCCTCACAGAAACCTGGAATCTACGGGACAGGAGGGAGGGTCATGAGTCGTGGTTCAAATGCAACATTGCACAGTTTTAAAAATCCTCCAGAGCTCCAGCCGCCCCCATATGAAATAAACAGATGTGTCATGTTACCCTGATATAGTATTCACCACCCCCAGATCCCCCTGATGCACAGCAACAACACACTAGATGTAGGGCTAAACACACCATCTCAAAGAGGAAAAGCTTGTTTCCTTTAGAATAACCTCTCCCTTCATTTTTCCCAGGCAAACATTTGCCACTTCCTCCTGCGGGGGTTTCCTCTGACTTCTCCTTCCCTCTCACCTCAACTAGTTTAGTTCAATTATTATGTTTCCCTCATTTAGCTAGAACAGATTACCGTTCTTTGGGGGAACCTGTCGTTCAATGGCGCCATTTAATGAATGTATTTGCAAACAATGTGGATCAGGGGAGGTGCAGAAAATGCTTTTACTATGACAGTCCTGCTGATAGTGGGTGGTTTCTGTGCAAATCGGTTCCGGTTTGTGATGATCGATTTTCTCACCAGAGAAGGTTTGACACAGCTCGTTTTCAGGGCAGTTTGAGACTCTTTGCCACTCGCATAGAAGTGGGTTGTTACCTCGACTCAGTCTAGCAGGTAGAGCCATATAGGGCTGATTATGTTTATGTTGATGCATTTGGCAGACGCTTTTATCAAAAGCGACTTACAGAGTATTACATTTCTCATCACTATGACAATAAGCATGGTCGCTTTGGATAAAAGCGTCTGCCAAATGCATAAACATAAACATAAACATAAGCTATATAGAGGAGAAACACTGATCAGAGTCAGTGGTGACAGCAAGAGATAGAGGAAGAGGGGACCACAGAAGGAGTTATGGGATTAAGTACTAATGGATGATCCCCAAAAGAGGCGCCAGGCTCTGAATGAGGTCATCCGATTCCCCCATAATGCCTCTGACATGTCTTTTTCCCCCTGATACCTCTATTTTTTATTGATTCGCTGCTTTATTCTGCAGAGTCATTTGATGATTCAGTCTGATGTTTGTGCTATGTGCTCAGCAGCAAAGTAAGGGGGGCGTTTTCTCATGCATCATCTGAACCAAACCAGCAGTGGTGCTGATGAGGAACCCTCTTCTTCTGTCAGAGAGGTAGGCCACAAAAGTGAACCCCCCCTCCAGTGTGCCAGCCTCTCCGCGGGTCTGCGGACCCTGGTACCTTCTTGAGCTGCTCCTCCATGCCGGGCATCAGCATGACGCAGGCCACGGCCACGCCCAGCAGCAGGAAGCCGGCGTAGATGAGGCGCGTGACCGTGGAGTTGTTTCCGCTGGGGCAGCACCGGCACAGCAGGCAGGGGGCGCTGCCGCACAGGCACGGGATCTGCGTAAACAAAGGTCCGAAAAAGCGGTCAGTCCGGGGGACGGCTATTTCTGCAAGCTATTGCGTAAAGAAGCTGGCTAGCAGGCCAGGGGCGGGAGAAAAACAGCGCGTGCAAACATAAGCTGTTTACCAGCACGCGCTGGTACACAGCCGCGAATGTCGCTTCAAATTACAACCCGCTTAGCAACGACGCGACTTTGGTTCAGTTTCACCCGAATCGGGTGATTTTAGCGTTAAAAACAAGCTAAGGGACTAAAGAGTCGGTGTGTGTGAGATAGAGATGGTTTTCGAGTAAGATGGAGCTTTCATATTGTCGGAGTGCGTCATCCCGAAATAAACTGCGTAGTCATGGCCGCCACAAAGACCAAAGCCTGACCAGCCGCAGCCGAACGAAGCCCACTCACCCAGCTGGCCATGGAGCACAAACCGAGAACAGCTCCCATGACGGCTGTTTATTCTTCTCCCTTCTTTCTCAGACGGCCGACGATTTCTAGAAGATGGACGAGCCTCGGCCTCCGTCTTCTTCTGACACAACAACAACAACACAGTGTTGTAATATAGGTCCGCCTCAGGAGTATGCTGCCCCCTACAGGCGGACGATAGTTTTGCTTTATTTGTTTTAGCCCGCATGCGCAAGACGCTTTCCACACAGAGGGCTGCAGTAACCTTTAGACGAAATAAATACGAATATCCTGGGTTAAAATAAAGAAAACTATGTTCACTTCGTCGATCAAAACTATTGTCGTATCCTTCTGTTCTTTTTTATTCAAATTCAATTTTGCAAGATGTTATCAGCTAAATGTTATATAGAATAGAAAATGATTAATCACTAAATATAAATGATATTGCAGTGCAAATAAACAAATCAATGAAAATGGCTGACATGGGAAATAGGCGTTGAGGATCATTAGGAGGCTGATGTTGAGGACAATGAAAATGATTCCTGTTACGCATTTTCTATAAGCACCATATCACATACCTCATATCCCTTATGGACTAAATAAGCAGGATGTTTCCGTAAACGTCACATACCTCAACCCTTCTGGAGTCCACTGACAGTCTCCTCATCTGCAGAGGTGCATTCTGCTGCTACAGATGGGCCTCCCTCTGCCATACACATGCATGTATTGACAGAACTTGAATCAATATTTACAGAAAAA